ATATAGTCCACAGTACTGGCACCATTGTGTGTAATGCATGCATATTCACCTTGCTTGTCTCTGTGATATCGTCCATTCAATATATGTATACTGAATAATTTGCACAATTCAACATGTCTCTTACCAAAATTGTTGCAGTTATCAGAATCTTTACTTCAAAGCTGTCAGTTGGGTAATCATCAATTTCCTTTTGGATAAAATCAATGCTATCTTCAGGTATGTAATCAAGGAAGGTTTTTTTCCTGGTATTCAAATCACCAGCAAGAAAGAGTTCCTTTTCTGGGTGATCATGTACAATCTCTGTCAAATAGTCCTCCTATACTGACATACCATCTCTATCTTTATCCTCATAGACAGGCTAGTTCTCAGGTGATAGATATGTCAGAATCAAGATTGTATCCTTGTCAATACCTAATCTTGATCTGTTAAATAAGAAAACTACTGTATTTTCAAAATGTTCATATATCCTTGTTAAATATTCATCAATGGCCCACGATTCTCTAATACAAATTGTCACACCACCACTGTAGCTACCAAACTTCACTCTTAGATGAATGTATGTCGTTGAACATACGCATATAACTCGATTTGATTATATACTCTTCAAAAAAAGAAACTTGACATAGATGTAAAACCACCTTTTGCCAAATATCTAAAATAGTTACATTAAATGAGAACCAAATAAGTCAAACAGAAAGATGATGTGTCTATAATTTGCAAAAACACATGCAAAGCACATAAACGTAGCGTTTGGAGATCAATTTTACAGCTACATCCAAACGCAACCGCCTGTAAAAAAACGTGCAGCACAGGATCCTGCATTTAGGCATGCAGGCCCCCCTGCTGAATGGGTATAAAAATCCACTTCAACGGCTGTTCATACAGTCCTTATAACGGCAGTAGAGGCGATGACAGAATGCCAAGACTGAATGCAGCTCAATGGAACAACGCCATTGGGAGAATACAAGCTGGAGCAACTCAGCAAGAAATGGCCAGGCACTTTGGCGTATCCAGACAGACAATCTCCGCACTGTGGTCCCGATACAACAACACCAACAGAGTTGACGACAGTCCACGGTCAGGAAGACCAAGAGTGACAACCCAAGCACAAGATCGATACATCCGGCTGCGACACCTCCGCCACTACCACACTACCACAGCCACGTCTACAACCACATAGATCCCTGGGTTACGCAGAATATCAGATCAAACGGTACGCAACAGACTGAGGGAGGCTATTCGACGTCATGTCTTGACCCCAAGTCATCTGGTGGACCGTCTGCTTTGGTGCCAACAGAGGGTTAGAAGGGCACGTGCAAGGTGGAGAAATGTACTGTTTACTGACGGGTCCCGTTTCCTACTCACACGTGCTGATGGGCGTGCACGTGTCTACAAACGTCGGGGTGAACGTTACGCCCCCAACTGTGTGCAGCAGGTTGTCCCATTTGGCGGCGGGAGTGTCATGGTATGGGCCGGAATTCATCACGGTGGTAGGACGCCTCTCGTGCATGTGGCAGGTGCATTGACAGGTGTGCGTTACAGAGACTTGATCCTACAGCCTTACGTTCTTCCTCACGTAAACGTTCATGGCGGACAGTTCAAGCAGGACAACGCTCGACTGCATATTGCGCGTGTTTGTCAGGACTTCTTACACCACAACGACATCCAGACATTACCCTGGCCAGCCCGGTTACCAGATTTGTCCCCGATTGAGCATCTGTGGGACGAGTTGTGTCGACGCGTTCGCAGAAGGAATCCACCGCCCCAAACACTTCCGGCGCTTCTTGATGCACTTCAGCATGAATGGCAGGACATCCAACAGCGTGTTATTGACAACTTGATTGCATCTATGGGTCGTCGGTGTCAAGAGGTGATGGGGAGTGGTGGGTCAGTGATGGAGAGTGGTGGCTCAGTGATGGGGAGTGATGGGTCAGTGATTGGGCGTGGTGGGTCAGTGATGGGGGGTGGTGGGTCAGTGATGGGGAGTGGCGGGTCATGGATGGGAAGTGGTGGGTCACAGACGGGGAGTGGTGGGTCAGTGATGGGGAGTGGTGGGTCAGTGATGGGGAGTGGTGGGTCAGTGATTGGGAGTGGTGGGTCAGTGATGGAGAGTGCTGGGTCAGTGATGGGGAGTGATGGGTCAGTGATTGGGAGTGGTGGGTCAGTGATGGGGAGTGGTGGGTCAGTGGTGGGGAGTGATGGGTCAGTGATTGGGAGTGGTGGGTCAGTGATGGGGAGTGGTGGGTCAGTGGTGGGAAGTGGTGGGTCAATGATTGGGAGTGGTGGGTCAGTGATGGAGAGTGGTGGGTCAGTGATGGAGAGTGGTTGGTCAGTGATGGGGATTGATGGGTCAGTGATTGGGCTTGGTGGGTCAGTGATTGAGAGTGGTGGGTCGGTGATGGGGAGTGATTGGTCATTGATTGGGCGTGGTGGGTCAGTGATGGGGAGTGATTGGGCGTGGTGGGTCAGTGATGGGGCTTGGTGGGTCAGTGATTGAGAGTGGTGGGTCGGTGATGGGGAGTGATTGGTCATTGATTGGGCGTGGTGGGTCAGTGATGGGGAGTGATTGGGCGTGGTGGGTCAGTGATGGGGAGTGAGGGGTCAGTGATTTGGTGTGGTGAATCAGTGACGGGGAGTGGTGGACCAGTGATTTGGCGTGGTGGGTCAGTGATGGGGAGTGTTGGGTCAGTTGAGGGTCAGGGATGGGGAATGGTGGGCCAGTGATTGGGCGTGGTGGGTCAGTGATGGGGGGTGGTGGGTCAGTGATGGGGAGTGGCGGGTCATGGATGGGAAGTGGTGGGTCACAGACGGGGAGTGGTGGGTCAGTGATGGGGAGTGGTGGGTCAGTGATGGGGAGTGGTGGGTCAGTGATTGGGAGTGGTGGGTCAGTGATGGAGAGTGCTGGGTCAGTGATGGGGAGTGATGGGTCAGTGATTGGGAGTGGTGGGTCAGTGATGGGGAGTGGTGGGTCAGTGGTGGGGAGTGATGGGTCAGTGATTGGGAGTGGTGGGTCAGTGATTGGGAGTGGTGGGTCAGCTGTGGGGAGTGATGGGTCAGTGATGGTGAGTGGTGGGTCAATGATGTGGAGTGGTGGGTCAGTGATGGGAAGTGGTGGGTCAATGATTGGGAGTGGTGGGTCAGTGATGGAGAGTGGTGGGTCAGTGATGGAGAGTGGTTGGTCAGTGATGGGGATTGATGGGTCAGTGATTGGGCTTGGTGGGTCAGTGATGGAGAGTGGTGGGTCAGTGATTTGGTGTGGTGAATCAGTGACGGGGAGTGGTGGATCAGTGATTTGGCGTGGTGGGTCAGTGATGGGGAGTGTTGGGTCAGTTGAGGGTCAGGGATGGGGAATGGTGGGCCAGTGATAGGGAGTGGTGGGTCAGTGATAAGGAGTGGTGGGTCAGTGATGGGGACAGTCGGGTCAGTGATGGGGAGTGGTGAGTCAGTCATGGGGAGTGGTGGGCCAGTGATGGGGAGTGGTGGGTCACTGATGGAGAGTGGTTGGTCAGTGATGGGGAGTGATGGGTCAGTGATGGGGAGTGGTGAGTCAGTCATGGGGAGTGGTGGGCCAGTGATGGGGAGTGGTGGGTCAGTCATGGGGAGGGGTGATTAAGTGATGGGAAGCGGTGGGTCACTGATGGAGAGTGGTTGGTCAGTGATGGGGAGTGATGGGTCAGTGATAGGGAGTGGTGGGTCAGTGACGGGGAGAGGTGGGTCAGTGATGGGGAGAGGTGGGTCAGTGATTAGGAGTGATGGGAACTGGTGGGTCAGTGATGGGGAGTGGTGGGTCAGTGATGGGGAGCGGTTGGTCAGTGATTGGGCGTTGTGGGTCAGTGATGGGGATTGGTGGGTCAGAGATTGGGCGTTGTTGGTCAGTGATGGGGATTGGTGGGTCAGTGATGGGGAGTGGTGGGTCAGTGATGGAGAGTTGTGGGTCAGTGATGGGGCGTGATGGGTCAGTAATGGGGAGTGGTGGATCAGTGAGGGAGAGTGGTGGGTCAGTGATGGGGAGTGATGGGTCAGTGATTGGGAGTGATGGGTCAGTGATTGGGCGTTGTGGGTCAGTGATGGGGAGTGGTGGGTCAGTGACGGGGAGAGGTGGGTCAGTGATGGGGAGAGGTGGGTCAGTGATTAGGAGTGATGGGAACTGGTGGGTCAGTGATGGGGAGTGGTGGGTCAGTGATGGGGAGCGGTTGGTCAGTGATTGGGCGTTGTGGGTCAGTGATGGGGAGTGGTTGGTCAGTGATGGGGAGTGGTGGGTCGGTGATTGGGAGTGGTGGGTCAGTGATGGGGAGTGGTAGGTCAGTGATGGGGAGTGATGGGTCAGTGATTGGGCGTTGTGGGTCAGTGATGGGGAGCAGTGGGTCAGTGATAGGGAGTGGTGAGTCAGTGATGAGGAGTGGTGGGTCAGTGATGAGGAGTGGTGGGTCAGTGATGGGGAGTGGTGGGTCACTGATGGGGAGTGGTGGGTCAGAGATTGGGCGTTGTTGGTCAGTGATGGGGATTGGTGGGTCAGTGATGGGGAGTGGTGGGTCAGTGATGGAGAGTTGTGGGTCAGTGATGGGGCGTGATGGGTCAGTAATGGGGAGTGGTGGATCAGTGAGGGAGAGTGGTGGGTCAGTGATGGGGAGTGATGGGTCAGTGATTGGGAGTGATGGGTCAGTGATTGGGCGTTGTGGGTCAGTGATGGGGAGTGGTGGGTCAGTGATGGGGAGTGGTGGGTCAGTGATGGGGAGTGGTCGGTCAGTGATTGGGAAGTGGTGGGTCAGTGATTCGGAGTGATTGAGGGTGGTGATCTTTCACACCACATATGATAATTCACACCACAGAGGATCATTCACACTACAGAGGATGATTCAAACTACAGAGGATCATTGACACCACAGTGGGTCATTCAGACCACAGAGGATCATGCACACTACAGAGGATCATTCACACTTGTGAGGGTCATTCAAACCACATATGATAATTCACACCACAGAGGATCATTCACACTACAGAGGATGATTCAAACTACAGAGGATCATTGACACCACAGTGGGTCATTTCGACCACAGCGGATCATGCACACTACAGAGGATCATTCTCACCACAGATAATCATTCACACTACAGAGGATCATTCACACCACAGGGGATCATTCAGACTACAGGGGATCATTCAGACTACAGAGGATCGTTCACACTACATTGGGAAACTTCAGACCACAGAGGATCATTCACACTACACAGGATCATTCTCATCACACAAGATCATTCACACCACAGAGGATCATTCACACTACACAGGATAGCTCAGACCACAGAGATTCAATCACACTACAGAGAATCATTCAGATGAAAGAGGATCATTCATATCACAGAGGATAACTCAGACCACAGATATTCATTCAGACCACAGAGGATCATTCACACTACAGAGGATCATTCACACTACAGAGGATAATTCACACTACAGAGGATAATTCACACCACAGAGGATCATTCAGACCAAAGAGGATCATTAACACTACAGAGGATCATTCACACTACTGAGGATCATTCATACCACAGAGGATCATTCACACTACAGAGGATCATTCACACCACAGGGGATCATTCACAGCACAGAGGATCATTCGCATCACAGAGGCTCATTCAGACCACAGAGGCTCATTCACACTACAGAGGATCATCCACACTACAGAGGATCATTCACACTACAGAGGATCATTCACACAACAGAGGATCATTCACACTACAGAGGATCATTCACACTACAGAGGATCATTCGCACCGCAGAAGATCATTCGCATCACAGAGGCTCATTCAGACCACAGAGGCTCATTCACGCTACAGAGGATCATCCACACTACAGTGAATCATTCATACCACAGAGGATCATTCACACTACAGAGGATCATTCACACCACAGAGGATCATTCACACCACAGAGGATCATTCACACTACAGAGGATCATTCAATCACTTGTAACAAAATACATAATCACGAGGTACTTTTCCTTCAATGTCAAATTACAGAACTATCCATCTACCCAAAGTGAATACTTGATACTATCAATAGATGCCAACTTGATAGAAACACACGATGTGACAAGGGAAATCCTACAATACAAACACGTTGCCTGCGAAATCAATGAATACGTTGACAGACAGCTAGCCTACATTATCAAATCTGTCAATACACTTCGCTGACAATGAAATAGTTTTACCACTCAATTTACATGCTTGTTTGTTACAATATCCAAATATGAATCAAGAATAATCTTTTTATTATTTCTATTTTTTACTTAAAGAATAGAGACAGGTTGAATGGTTTAAACCACTTAAATAACTTGCATCAGAGCCTTTCAGAATAATCATTTTATTCAATCTGAGTTGTTTCATTTTATGGTACGTAATTCTTTCGCCAGAGTCCCAGATATCAGAAATTGAATACACTGACAGCTCATCTAAACAACTAGTTTAGACTATCTTCACAAACATTTTCGAGGTAGAGGTAGAGGTATGTGGCGAAAACAAGTCTTTACAAAAACTTTGCTTTTGGATTATTTCTTTAGGTTCACACTAAACTTTTCAAACAATCATCCAGGCCTACAATAAGCATCACATCTGTCTTCATCGATGACCATATTCATCACTGTCCAATGGTCAACTGTGACATAAGCCATGTTTACCTGGCGATGCCTCCCCTTGTCGGACAAGAAATGTTCATTTGGCATAGCCTGGCAACAGCACCCATTCCTTGGAGGCATTTCTGAATACCATCTGAAAATAACAAAACCATCACATGACTAGAGGACCTAGACCAGTCTCTGAAATGAACATATTGTAGTAATCTAGACTTGCCCACTATTAAGGACAGACATGATCAGAGGACCATGTAAGTCACACAGGTTTGAAACAGTGACTGTTCCAACTTGGAAATCTCTGCCTGCTGCCAAACATTTGTAGTGTAGATGGTCCCAGGCCATGACCATCTTAACCTGAACAATACTACAATGGGGAACACAGGACCACACTGAAATTGCGTAGTCAGCAAAACGGAAATTAATCTTGAGAAAAACTACATTGGATTAACAAGATTACCATGGCTGAAACTTAATTCATAAGCAAACTATGCCAAGTCTAACCTTTACCTGCCTTACACTTGTGCCAGTCAAGTTTTACTCAACAAAGAGCATGCCAAAACTGGTAATGTTGTTGCAATTCATCGGTACACAGGCGCATCGTCAGCAAACTTCTCACGATACAATACCCGATACATTTAATTTGGCATCGATTCCCATTTAACCACGTATCGATTGTCCATGATGATCTCTCATCCATATGAATAAGCAAGTACAAACTATTTTTTAAATTCTTCACAACTTTCTTGGCCGTCCTTTGGATACGAAACCGGCCCAATAACAAGACTGACCAGCTTTTCCTTGCTCCATGGCATAATACAATACATCAACTGTTTGTTTCTTATCATTTTCTCGTACAGAATGGTTGACTTGACTCATTGTCATGTTTGATGGGAATTAGTCAGTTGTCCTTCTATGGACTCTATTCTCAGTCTTATGACTGGGATTTCCTCATAAAATGTCATAGATACAGTATTGAGATACAAATCACATGGTGCCTTCTGTATCAAGATATGTATCACATCGTGTAACGCCTGCACTGCGACACCCCTACAAATTGGTCATATCTTGGATTTAAACCCCCAATATTCTTCTAATTAAGGTTGGATATTGTGTTGCGTGGTGCCGCAATGAATATTTACTGTGGTCAACAGCATGAGAGAAATGAGCAAAGTTTGAACCTGAGAGTCTTGTAAATGTGACTGAGTATGCTTTTACCCCGCTTTTAGCAATATTCGAGCAATATCACGGAGGGGGACACAAGAAATGGGCTTCATACATTGAACATCACTGGTTGGTCCGGCCCAGATTCGATTATTTTCAGACTGCCATCATTAAGCTGGAATACTGCTGAGTGCGGCGTTAAAAAACAAACAAACAAACAAACAAAACATGTCCCCTTGATAAATGTGTCCTATGTTGTGACAAGCTGCCCCCAAAAAATCGGTTATGAAGATTTTAGAAGTAATGTTTTTTGAGGTGATGGAATCAAGAGGATTTCTTTCTGTAGTTTTAAGTTTTAAGATAACAACATGTAGCTCACCTTACATTTTTTCTGGAACATTTAGAAAACTAATGATCAATTCATCGGAAACTAAATAATTGGCTGATAATAGGTTTACAAAAGGGCTACCATAGCCTTCATGCTAAAAATGGGGTCAAATTTACATCTCGTTAAATATTGACATCATTGCTGGGTATATACCAGACATGCAATGCTTCACGATAATGATATCTGAGAAATGTCTTTCAGTGGCACTTAATAAGCTGTAGAAACAATGAAGACAGAGTTGATTACTGAGAACCATTTTGAAATGTTATCAATTCCAAGCAAATGGCAGGCAGGAACAAATGTCCTTAATGGTACAGGTTACACACAACCAAATGTTTCCCCATAGACTTCTATAGTACTTAATGTTATATTTTTGTAAAATATAACTAAGCATTCAACAGCTATAACATGTACATGTGTGCACAGTTTGGCCTTAGAGTAGCAATAAAAAACAAAAAATGACTAGCTTAGCCAGCTCCTTTTCTTAGTTCAGGAAGCTAAACACACCACCCCCAGTGTCGCACCAAATGTCACCTTCTTGAAAATAGCTGTGTTCACATTCAGCATAAGTCATCATGTTGAAAAAGACAGTACTAAATACACGGTAAGAGTTGTGAGAGTTTGATGATGTTCACTTCATCAATGTTTTACAAAAGGTATTTCTGTATTAATAAAGAGGTTTCTACCTTCATGCACTACATTCATATTTCATAACAGAAAGGGGTCAAGGGTCAATTCTATAAATGATTGAGGCTGCATAGATCATATCACCCTAAAATATTTTTTCGACTATAAGAATTGAACAAATCTTTAAATCTCAAAACCAGTAACAATACATATTTAAAATTGAGTAGTAGTCTGTTGTTTGCCTTCATTTGCTGACATCTTCAGAACATAGCAGAGTCTGCTACATTCATTGAAAATGGTTTTGACACTGGTTTTTGATGTGATTGATATTGTTTGAGATTGCTCGGACTTACACCATCCATTGTTTATATAATTATTATTAAACACTCAAATGGCTGTCAGCATTTGGTAAATCATCTATGGAGGGGCTATCACAAATGTTTGTGCTTTCATTTACTCCAAAAATCAAAAGTATAATCACCTATGATATAGGCTGGTGACATGAGTACACATGGAAAGGAATCAGAAAAAAATCTCAAACTTGGACAGAGAGCATTGAATTCAGGCCAACAATAAGCAAGGAACACATTAAGCAGCTTTAAAGTCATCATATATGGAAGGCTGGATAGTGAACTTTACCAGAAAATAGGAAGTAAAGGGGTGTTGCCAGCAATCTCAAATGCTGACCAGTGAACCACACCGCCTATGAAAGCCAAGAAATGGAAATGGACGTTCAAGTAGAAGAAAGCTCTTAGAAACCACAACATGGAAGGAAATTACACTAAACTCTATTGATTTATTTAGTTAAGACTTTCAAATACTCACAGGACATCAAACATACTTACTGTTAAATGTTTCAAGGTGGCTAAACTTGCTAATTTCAGTTATTTGCCAGTTTCAATGAAAGTCCATATACTTTAGAAAATGTACAGCTTATCCTGACATAAATGTAATTATTTTTGTTCATGCAATACCAACTTAAAATAGTGTTTCTCTCCAAAAAATTATGGGTTTATAGGGCAATGAAAGATACAATGCATTTTACTAAACAGGGGAGATAATTTAGTATTGTCGAACACTATCATATTCTTTACAGATGATTTCAGAACCATAATGTCACATTACAAAAGAGCCAGTGGATATTATTTTTATCTAAGCAGGTTCTGGGACTGGTGTATAGCCCTTACTTGATGCACTGTGAGGCATTAAGGGAGCACTGACAGATATGTCTAGTGCATGAGGGTGATCTTATTACAGCACTTGACAGTGAGCAACAGAGGGGCCTCAAGTGGACTGGGCTTCTGAAATGTACTTAATGTACCTACATGTCCAAGTTCCACAATGTCTACAAGGTAATAGAGCGCAGCGAGGCAAAACAAGGGTTGTGGATCACACACTGCCAACACAGGACTTCGGATCAGCTTCTCAATATGCCAAATTGGATGTGAAAACTTCTACTTCTTCTGCATGAGTGCACATATACCTCCCCAGTCAACATCAGGCATGCTAAAACCTGAAAAAAAGTCTTCAGACAATATCAAATGGCAAACCAGTTTGGATATAACAGCCAGGAGTCAGTTCTTGAGGGAGAAAAGTAAATATTTGAAAGTCATATGAGAGAAAAGAAAGTCTGTTTTAAGAAATTTAATAGAAAAATAGCATCTTTCATTCACACAAAAGCACCTAACAGAAAGATATATGGCTATGCTACATTGTTTACTATAAATAAGGGGATTTGTGACATATTCTGCTGTCAGCAGTGTACATGCTTCATACTCAAGATAACGGCATCGCGTAACTTGACCGGCAAGTGATTGACACAAGGCAGAAATTGTTGTGGCAGAGGTGACTTTATCCTAATTTGTTGTCAAATTCATCAGTTTCAACAAATTCAGAGGGCTTGATGGACAGAGGTACCCTGGGGGTTCATCCTGAGTTCGACCACAATACGAAGCAACATTCATTTCATGGCCATCCAAATGCTCCATTCAACCCAAAATGTCCCCAACTTCACTGTCATTATGTTTAAATTTGCCTCCATGTTGTATCCATGGTGAAATATAAACAGGAAAGCATGTAAAGTATGAACTACTGAAATGTGCACTCACCCTACAGGTTACACACAACCAAATGTTTTCCGATTGACTTCTATAGTAACTTCTTTGATAGGCATTTAGAAGTTGGAGTACTAAGTAAGGATAAGAATTTATGGATGAACATCTAACTACTGAACTAAGCCACCTCAAACAAGTATTTACACAGCATAACCTCTATCCCGAGCAACTAGTATAACAGATACAGAACATCACTAGGAAATCTCAGGAATCCCCACGTCAACAGTCTGCACCCTTTGTGATCAGCCTCCCCTACTTTGGACTAGTTAGCCGCAAAATCCAGAGACTCTGAAAGAAACAGGCCAACATTGATGTAGTCTTCAAAAGAAGTCATACTATTCAGAACACAATTAAAGCCACAGGGAAACCTCCTTCCAGCCACAAGCCAGAAACATCAGAAGCAGTGTACCACATTCCATGCAATTGTGGACAAGCTTACATAAGAGAAACATCTAGGCCCCTCAAAACCCAAATCAAAGAACATCAAAGCTAAGTCTCCAAAGATGACTCTAAATCAGTTCTATCAGACCACATCCATGACAACCCAAGCCACAGGATTCAGCGGGAGAGAGTCACAACACTCGCCACCAACCTCAAAGACTTCAAGATCAGGAAGCTACAAGAAGCCATCAACATCAAAAGACTTCAGCCCTCAATCAACCGTGACCAAGGATATACATACCCCTGGCGTACCATCAACTCATCAAAGACCCCAATCAGCCATAATCCCGTTGTTTACATAACTGGCTTCATCCTTTGTTTATGGCACTGACTGGTACAGAGTCTGACGACAGGCAGGAAAAGATTTCCTTGATGGTACAGAGTCTGACAACAGGCAGTAACCAATGCCCTTGATGGTACAGAGTCTGACAACAGGTGTTAGAACCTACACCGAAACGTTGCTCTTAATTGTAATAAAGAAGTTGTTCATCCATAAATTCTTATCCTTACTTTCTATAGTAACGTTATATTTTTTTTAAATAACTTAGCATTCAACAGCTATAACGGAATCTCTCGATCTGCACTGAAGGCTCCCTACGAAAACCGCACTGTCGTAACTGGTTCTGATTTGGTGAAGTAGAACCTACAGAGTCTGACAACAGGCAGGAACAGATGTCCTTGAAGGTACAGAGTCTGACAACAGGCAGGAAAAGATGTCCATGATGCTACAGAGTCTGACAACAGGCAGGAAAAGATTTCCTTGATGTTACAGAGTCTGACAACAGGCAGTAACCAATGCCCTTGATGGTACAGAGTCTGACAACGAGCAGGAAACAATGTCCTTGATGGTACAGAGTCTGACAACAGGCAATAACCAATGTCATTGAAGGTACAGAGTCTGACAACAGACAGGAACCAATGTCCTTGATGGTACAGAGTCTGAGAACAGGCAGTAACCAATGTCCTTGATGGTACAGAGTCTGACAACAGGCAGGAACAGATGTCCATGATGGTACAGAGTCTGACAACAGACAGGAACAGATGTCCATGATGGTACAGAGTCTGACAACAGACAGGAACAGATGTTCATGATGGTACAGAGTCTGACAACAGACAGGAACAGATGTCCTTGATGGTACAGAGTCTGACAACAGGCAGGAACAAATGTCATTGATGGTACAGAGTCTGACAACAGGCAGGAACAGATGTCCATGATGGTACAGAGTCTGACAATGGACAGGAACAGATGTCCATGATGGTACAGAGTCTGACAATGGACAGGAACAGATGTCCATGATGGTAGAGAGTCTGACAATGGACAGGAACAGATGTCCTTGATGGTACAGAGTCTGACAACAGGCAGGAACAGATGTATGTACGTTTTAATGGAGTCAAACCCTGGCCTTCAGAGTCAGTAACAAATGTCTTAATCAACAGAAAACACCAGTGTACAAGCTCAAAGAAGACTGAAGAAACGGAAGTGAAGAGACACACATCTTGTCTTATAGAGTAAAACTTGCTGTTGTACCACTACCTCAATTCTCAACATTCGCCTCCTCGATGTATGACGGTAAACATAATGCAAAATGGGAAAAACACCCTGCTGGAATGACAACACCATTCCACGATAATTAAAAACATGCCACTTTTTCGCAACTCATAAAGAAACCCACTACAAGCCCTGTGCACAGTTTTGTACACACTACCATAAATTTCAATAGGATCTGTGAAGAAAGTTTTTTAACGCCGTACTCAGGAATATTCCGACTATATGAAGGCAGTCTGTAAATAATCGAGGCCAGAACCTGACAATCCAGTGATTAACATCATGAGCATCATTCTACGCTCAGTGAGCCTGACCACCCGATCCTGTTGGCTCTTACGACAAGCCAGGTTGCTGAAGACCTATAGTAACCTGGATCTCCACAGGTGTCAACTTCCAAGCTGTTTCAATTTTCACCTTTAACTATTCAATGGTTTGATTCTCGGGTTTTGATTTCATGAATTCATAATGGCATCTGAAAGTCCTTCAGCTTATATGACAATGTTCATAATTAGAGCAGGATGATCTCCAAGACAAAGAGAGCTTATTTCTGTGCTCAAATACAGCAATGTCCCCCCTCTCTCTGTTCAACACAGGAGGCAGTTAGTATGTTGTGGCAGCAATGTTATTGCAAACTCGTAATGTGACGAGCTATGACAGCAACTCCTGGTAAATGTGACACGTGAACTGCATATTACATCTTGAAATGTATGCATTGTATGTATCACCCACAAGCTTCCCATTAAATGTACATCGACGGTCACTTGCACATACTACACACATTTTCATGTTGGGGCCTTCACACTGTCAACAAGTGAGTGAGTGAGTGGGTGTAACACCACTATGAACAGTATTCCAGTTATATCATGGCATGTCAGCTTATTGTGGGAGGAAAACCCGAAGTGATGCAGGTATCAGACGTTAACCACTTCGGTGAAACCTACGAGCACGGGTATGGTGCTGACAAACCTAGAAACATAATTGGGACGATTTGATTTGAACCTACAATCATAGGTTTCTGGCTTGTGCAAGGGACGCAACTCTGCACAGCGAATTGAGGCGCCTTAGACGACTGGGCCCCCCGTGCCCTCACTGGCAACAACAACTTGATGAGGGCATTTGTGTCATATTAACACGGTGCTTTTGTTACTATTGGTGTTGGAAGCTTTATCTTCAGAACCAAGATCTAAATACAACAAGAATGTTTGCATGTGAAATATGTTCCATATTCAGGGTTTTACAGTAGGGTTGGCGTATTGGCATAAACACTGTATTGCAACATATCACAAAATGGAGAGCTGTATTTCCATACATACTGCAAGATGTATTGGTGTCCAAATTATATACATTTGTACTTCTTCATGCAATAATCCAGACTTCAAACTTCAGACTGCAAGACAGGTAGTATGGATAAACGAGACTACATATTACGTCATCAATATGGAATGTAATGGGATGTTATGGAATGTACTTCTTAGGCTGTATGGGAAAATATGGATTGTATTGCAATATGTGTCTTGCTGACGACCGTATTGCAATACAGTAAACTAGGTTTATGACGAACACGCTTATAACGAACTGACAGATATAACGTTATGGGCTATTATTATATTATTAGCCTTGTAAAATTAGCAGTCATGACAACTCACAACATATTATACTGAACAACAAAGGTCTCTGTGACATTGAATAAGATTTAATGCAAAGTTATGTTTTTTACCAAATCTAAATCAATTTTGATTTCCAACGGATAAAAGTCTCCTTTTAGTGTTCAAATGGTTTAATTTGCCATACTGACTTCAGAAAATGCGTGATTTCATAAAAAAAACATGAACATGCCAAAATGTCAATTTACAAATCAATCAACAGGGTGTGTGTCCACCTCTGGTTCCGACGCAAGGAACACATCTTCGTCTCATTGAATGGACCAGGCGTCGCACAAAGTCCTGTGGGATATCTGTCCATATCTGCTGGAGCATGTTTCGAAGTTCCTGGAGTATCTGTGGAACACGTGGTTGACATAGAAGACGCAGATCCATCTCATCTCACATGTGCTCGATTGGTGAGAGATCAGGGGAGCAAGACAGCCAGGGGATGACATTCAGGTTGTTTTGTTGAAGAGAATCCTGAACAAGTCGAGCAATATGAGGCTGGGCGTTGTCATGTTGAAAGGTAATGCCTGTGCCATGACAGTCAGTGAATAGAACTTGTCCCAACTGCATGGCCGTCCAGCGTAGACGCTGTCTGCACCACTGTAGACGTACTTGACGGTGGTTTCCAGTCAAAATGGGACGTCTGGCGGGTCTTCTGGCGACAATCCCTGCACATCTGAGGCAACGACGTACGGTTTGTGAAGATATTCGTCAAAGGCCAGGGATGCTTCCTGCAATCACTGTGGCTGGCTGGAATCGATTTCGTAGGTATGTTGCTCGAATCCAGTTGTCTTATTGATTATTGGTTACACGTGGCCTGCCACTCCGAGGATGGTCCCTGACTGCATGTGTATGTTGCCAACGTTGCCATAAACAAATGGTGTTTCTGTGGACAATAAATTGATCTTGCAACATCACGTTGACTCGATCCTGCTTCAAGCATACCAATGGCTCGCAGACGCTCATTTCGAACAGTTGGGCATTTCGTAATGTTGAATAATGCGTAATTTTGTTGTTTTTCTGAGTGGTTGTTGTCAGCACGATGCTAAACGTTTAAATGCATATGGAATCCCGTTAACGCACATGTTTATGTACCCATTCTTGGGTAGTGAAATGCATGGGGCTTGCATAAAAGTCTTTTTCATGAAATGCATGCTTTTCTGTAGCAGTTGCGTTTTTGTGAGTTGATTCCAAACATGTACTACGATATTGAAAACCAAACTTTACTTGTTTGAAAAATACACTAAAATATTGGTATTCAACTTTTGTTGTTGAGTATACAATTATACCCAAGTCAGAAATAGAACAATATATTTACTGGATGGATGTACATTTAAAAGACATAAAAATCTTACACAATATCATCCAATCACATCCTGCAGATGACTCTCGATCTGCACTGAAGGCTGAAAAACCGCACTGTCCCAACCGGTTCTGATTTAGTGTAGTAGAACCTGTAATGACGACCTAGTCATTCATTAATAGTTGTAAGGAATTATCATATTTTGGTGTAGCAAACGCCCCTGAGCTCCATACAGTTGTGGACCATGGACTATACCAAACACCCTATCTGCCCCACCCCATCCCCCATGAATCATTGCTGTCCAATATTTCATACAAGCACACTGTACTTTACATTAATTAAAACATAAATTGAGTTATTTGTTGTAACATAACATCATAATTGATCATCCTAACTACGTTGAAACTATGTTCTTTAGTGATAATAACATGTTTTAGTCACAAACACGTGACATTGACAATGTGAAAAAACTGAAATGGTTCAGCCAGACAAAGTTTGTTGTTAAACTTTAAACACATATCATAGTTTGTCATCGCGAAATTTACAGTGCACAAAATACCCCAAATGTCATAAATATATTCTCCTTTACACATACTTACATATACTGCTTCAAATTGGGAGGATTGTAGCTGCATTGTCAAAAAAATACTGTAGTAAATGGGCGATCTTTTTCAATTTATCTTCCCTTCACTAACCCGCTAGGTGCGCTGATCCGGACGGTCCAACCTTAAACTGACGGCGCATGTGGTATGCGCGATACGAGCACTACATGTTACTATGACGTCTATAGACAGTTAACTAGTACAACCTTCACCTCTGTCGGCAACTGTCACACTTGTGTGCGGACAGTATATCTTTTCGCCTAAGCAATTATTTATCTATTGCCATGTCCGGAAATATATGTTCCTTGATATAATTATACATCAGGGATGACCACGACTGATTATATTGTATAGTTTACCACTAGATAGGCGTTCGAAGCGATGCGGTGAAATCAGCTGATCGTTCCTCCCAGGTCGCTTTGTTGACGTTTTGCAATCGGTACTGAAAGTGTTGCCCTTGATGTATGATTATGAAAATTAAGTAGATTTTGTATACGTTCCTATATCTATGTTGTAGCATCGCCGAGCAGGCCACATCATATGCATGCATTTCATTATGTTAAACTGTGAGGCGATACGTTACGCGAAATGTGAAGGTCTCATGCAACGTTGCCCGTAGGCTCAATGTTGTGAATATTGACAGCAACACATGTAAGTATTTGTCAGATAGATAACTGAGAGCAATGAGAAACGTTCTCAAGAAATTGTAAGATTTACAGGCACTGTAAAATTACGTCATCAACTAGATATCATGATACAATCTTCAAAATAAAAGAAATGGAAATCACTGAAATCTGTTTTGATATTTAAGGGTTAAATGGTGCATGTTGTATACAAGGATTTTATCTATATGAATGGTAGCTGTTTGTTGCCAAATACTACCATGATTATATTTCAATATGATCAATGAAAGATATATATTATTTTGGCCTTTTTTTAATTTTACAAAGCAGAAAAAAACCAATTCAGACACAGGGGACCCTATAAATTAGTTAAAATACATATTCAAGAGTATTTGTACCAACTACAATTTTTATAAAATAAAACAATATATTCATACTAATTGCCAATCTCTATAATGTTGTTTGTGTATTAACAATGCAGTGTCTACATCCAGTTTGCATTGACAATAATCATATGATTGTGACACAGATAAAGCTGATTCTTAACTTCAGTAGGCCTTGCTTTTTATGTTTCCTTGTTCTAAACTGATGTTTCAAATTATTAATGTTTTTCTTTTTTCACTTCACACCAAAAGATATCTGCATTGCACAATGACTCTTATTATTTTATTTAACATCTTGGCTCACTTGTGCATGTGTACTAGTATTGGGACTCTGGTATTCTTTCAGGTTTGGAGAATCAATCAATTCATTGTGAAAACATTTTTAATTTCTTACATAAGTTACTTTGATCTTGATAAGATCAAACTAGGTCCAAATTAATTTAAGAAGATTAAATTATGCAGTCTATACATTTCAGCCAGTCCGTCTAAAATCCGGTCCTCTTTTTAGTCAGTTATAAATGAATGAAAATTTAAGAAAAAATATACCTTACCTGAGTGAATCAGTGTTCAGTCAAAATACATATTGGGCCTGATTATAGACACTGACTGTAAAATATGTAAGTATAATCTGTTATATGCAAAAACAAATAACATAAATAAATCCATTTATCTACATGGAATGACTGTGGGGTTCAATTTCCATTTATTTAACTATCAGAAGATTTGATGATAAACTTTCATATTCATATTTTCATATACAATTCATATTTGCTACATGATAATAATAACTACAAAATATACTTTAAAATACAGGTGTCTTGAAGTACTATTGAATGAAAATCAGGATACTTAGATACAGCAGGATAGTGTGTGGGTTTGTATGGGAAATTTGTCAACATTAAAAAAAATATAATGTTACTGAAACAAGAAGATAAAACTTTGATTTAGATCTATTTATGCATCATACACATTTTGTGGGGTAGTCAGTATGATTTGTTGTTTGTTGGGACACATCTCTGTAATTAACTACTATTTTAAGAGCATGAGTATCAGAATTCTGTAAGAAATGATGGATCAATGAATTAACACCTGTGATGACTCAGAGCACTTAATGGTGGGACACATGTTATAAGGGGCAGAATAATATGGGTAAATCTCTTTTTTCAAAGTATGATGACTAGTAAGCATATTGCAACTGAGTAACTGAGTGCTTAATAGCTGCATGGTAGATGTTCATTAGGCCTATTTCTACAAAAAGTATATAAATTTAAATATTCAGATGCAACTTTAACTTTGATATAAAAAGAAGTAACATTTAAAATCAGTTGTTTTATTATTTTGAACGTTATTTCTTCTTAAAATATTTGTAAAGGCACGGATGTAAACTTACTATATAGATCATTGGTAAAGGCCTGTCAAAGATGTCTGTGTGCTGCAAATGTTGGCGTATCACTAATTTTATTACATTGAAGTTTGTGGTAGTATTTGTTGAGATTTGAATGCATGAATTGTTGTAGGAAATAACACAAAGGCTGATAAATAAAATGAGTTTGCATTATTTCATCGATGCAATATGTTAGCCCAGACTGACAGAATGCCTCGCTGTTTTCTGACGTAGAAAATACCGTGACAATATACCATTTTTCATGACGTTTTCCCCGCTATATTCCAAAGTGACAATTCGTCTTGTAGTTGAAGACTAAAAAAATGTTGATAATATAAACTAATAATCACTACAAAAAATGTGCTAGTTAAAAATATTCAGTTGTAAACGACCGTTTTTGAACGAAGGTGCAACAGGATAACTCTTTAGCTTGGCTCCGTCTCTACATGTCAGTCGTTGTCGCAGCGCGCATTGATCCGGGAACCAGACCGGAAGCGACAGGTTGGACCGTCGCTTATATCATTTCAAAAGGAGAGTTACCTCCTCTTGCCATGAGCATTGCTGAGAGACCATTATATGGTCTCCGGCGTGAGCAAGAAAAAAGAATGTCGAGTGAAAGATATGAATGGACTAACCTGCAGATGCATGTACCTAACTGTCCTGACCTGCGATGGAGATGCGACAAGACCGAACGAGCACGCGTATGTGTGGTGATCCCTGCCACAAGATTAAACAAGAAAATATTGATGCAGAGCATCAAAGTTCCCCGCCATATGTGATGCCTCACAAACGCATAATTATGATGTTACTGAAAGGCATGATGGAGCATAATTATATTAACCACAAATAACACAACGCTGTTGTGGAAAAAAATATTATTTATTTTGAGTATTGGGCAATACATTTGATACATTTGCATAGGGTAGGTCTATTTAAAAATAGCTTCCTGTTTAACGCCGCTCTCAGCAGTATTCGAGCCATATGACGGCGATCTGTAAATAATCCAGTCTGGACCAGATCATCCAGTGATTGACACCAGGAGCATCGAACTACGCAATTGGAATATGATGTTATGCATCGACCAAATCGGCGAGCTTGACTACCCAATCCTGTTCGTCGCCTCTTACGGCAAGCATAGGTTGCTGAAGATCTATTCTAACCTGGGTCTTTATTTAAAAAGTAGATCGAAGAAAATGGGAGCAATTTCTGGCACAAATGTAAACATGTGGAAAGAGTATCAAAACTGCCAACAACATTGGCAGATGCACATACTCAAATAATAGATCACATTCTTTTTACACTTGGCATTTGGTTATAATAATGTAAATGAAAATACTAAGGGCTCCATATGGCAAAAAAGTCATACTAGATAAGGTCTATTGGTCACAACTCAAAGTATTATCACGTAGTTGGAGAACATTTCAATACCGGGACTAATCAATAACGGAGATTCCTCGACTCTTGCTTTACGTTTTTTGGTCAGTTTCTTTTTGTATTTCTTTCTTTCAAAGAATAGTAATTGTGATCATGATGAGTTGAGTTACTTGGTTTTTTTCTATGTACTCTTTTTTTATCCAGTGTCAGTAACTGTTGTGGAATGTGGTTTACTTGTAACAATGATTGGTTTGAGTTCATATGATGATGATTTATTGGTTTGTCGTTTAACGCCGCACTCAGCAATATCCCAGCTATATGACGGCGTTCTGTAAATAATCGAGTTTGACCAGACAATCCAGTGCCTAATATCATGAGCATCGATCCACGCAATTGAGATCGATGCCATGCATCAACCAAAGCCTGGCCATCCGATCCCGTTTGTCGCCACTCACGACAAGCATACTCGCCTGATATACTGTTAAGATGTAACAGTACAATTCATCTATACTATACTAAACAGAAGTAAAACCGCTTGTCCATTTGGATCAATCTGACCCAAACCATTCCGCTGATGAGAGTCAAATAATGCATACGAATCAAAATCCGTAAAAATTGCAATGGAGACATCATTAAAAGTTACCAAAAGTGACGGGGATATCAAAATTGCTTTTTGAAATGATTCTATGAAATTTGTTTTCCCTGCTTCAATATTTGGAGCAACTGTG